AGCAAGACTTTAAAGGAAAAGCAAAATTATGATCAAGATTAGCTCTTTGGGGTGGCAAATCTGAATGCTTCCTCCAGGAAATAATAAGTAAGGTGAACATATGCCCTGGTTTTCTGGGACAGTTCCATTTTATGCTCATCCTGGCATAAGATTTAATAGCTCCCCCACCTCCCTGTACTCTTAAGACATTCTCTTACCCTGAAAAGAAAGTGAGATAACTTTAATTTTATAACATTGATATTTGGAGCAAACATATTCTACATACCTGCTATGATTGATACAGCACAGGTGTTCAACAGATTCATTTTCTGTGATGTCAACAGGGCTGACAATGACCACTTTGGCAGGGCCCCTAACTGGCATTAATGACCGTGGCAGGATGCAGCTGGATGCAGTTGGATGCATGAGGAACCCAGCCCCAGAATACACATCCCTTGACACCTATCACTTTGGCTGCTTGTTCCCATTCAGAAAGGAATCAGTGAATGGGGGCACTTGTCATTTTGGTTTGAAAGTCAATGAACAGGATTCTCCAAAATATGTAAGCTACTCCTATTGATTCTTTAGGTCTTTAGATTTTCCTAAATATCTCAAAACTAGGAAGTAGATAGTTCTTTGGAAGAATCTACTTAACTTTCTGTTGTGATATGTGATAGTAAAATAGCTAAATATGAAAGAATTACTGTATTTCAAGTTTGCACTTATTGATGTTTTGTGGACTATTTAAAATATAATGATTTTTAAAAATTATATAGAATCATTAGAAAAAGTTGTATAATATAAGTCGCACATGTTCTCAGATTTATAGTTATAGCTCTTTTTTATGGGTAATTTTTTTTTTTACATCTTCAAAGGAAACCTTAATAATGCATTTTTTTTTTAAAAAAAAAAACAGTGTCACTACCAAGCCTTTGGATGATTAACTACCCTATGATATTTCTTTCATCCAAGCTGGTTTATAAAGGAAAGCAAAAACGACAATAAAAGAAATGTACCAATTTATTCTCTACTAATAAAGTATTGAACATTAGTGAAAAAGGTATGAAATATTGGAATGCAACCCAGAGCAATTCCATTACCTATTGCAGTTTTGGGTCATATACTGTATATAAAGAGTAATTACTTCATTGGTTGGAGACCACAGTGGAGGACTATAGAATTTGATGAAAGAGATTTTAAAATAAAAATTTTATCCCAAAGCATTTGCTTTTCCAAACTTTGCCAACATCATAGACCATCCTGTTTTGTTTTTGGGTGGCTGGGGGAGAGGGGATGGGAGTAGGGTGGGAGTGCAGGAAAAACAAAATTAAGAGTGAAGAGATTTTTAAAACTCTTTAGCCAATAATCGTATATCAGCACTTGGATTTTCAAGTATCTGCTAAAAATATTCTTTGTAGATGCCTTAATGACACATCTAATAATGAAGGTCCTATATTTAATATTTGCACATTGCATTATTGACATTAAATCTGGTGGTTTCTAACACGTCTTTCACTTCTCACCTTTGAATCAAGTTTCCGGATTTCATTTTCTCGATGAGGATTTTAGCTGCATGAGGAGCTCAAGGCTAGACCATGGTGTCTACAACATAAGTTTCTAAATGTTTCCAAGCCTTCTTCTTTATCTTACAGGGATTCTGGGTAGGAACTGAAAGCTTTCTGGGTAAAATGGGAAGGTCACATGATGTATTATGGAGAGAACAGACTCTGGAGTTGGCCAGTCCTAGTTCCGGTCCAAGCTCTGTCACTTTTCCCTGAGGCTCAGTTTCCTCGTCTGTAGAGTGGAGGAAAATATCTACATTGTAGGATGGTTGTGAGGATTGAATGAGCTATGTGAAAAGCACTCTACAGTGCTTACTGAGAGTCTATGTATATTCTACTTCTTTTTAAAAATAATTTGACAGGTATAAAATTACAAAAAATACATTAAGAAAAAATAGATAAATAAACCACATGAAATCATACTCAGTGAGTACCAATTCATTTATTTCTTCTACTCATGTTCCTTTAATAATGATATTGGAGAAAACATCAGGGAAATATTCTGATTATAAAAGTAAAATATATTAATTGCAAAGAAAAATATTACTGGAAGGTATGAAGAAGGTAAACTTCCATTACCTTTAATATTTTGACACATTCTCTTCATCTTTTTCCTACTCATTTCAAAAAACAGTTAGGATTATACTCTATATCACAGTTACTTCCTGTTTTCTTCAATTTCTATTACATCATAAACATTCTTGTTGTCATTAAATATTCTCTTTAAACAATTATTTTGTGATTTCATAATAGTCTATCAATTGTATGTACTATAATTATTTCCACTCAACATGTTAGTGATTTTTCTTTTTGTTATTATAAACAAAATTGCAATGAAAATTTTTTCAGATGTTTATTGAATATGTTGGAAATCCCATCCCTTGATTTGTCATATTTGTTACAATTTTTTTCCCATTCAGCCTTTTAAATTTATGATGACTTTTGACATAATGTTTTTAACTTTATGTAACTTTTGCTATCAATTATTTTCCTTTGTGATTTCCTTTACTGCGTGTTTGTTTAGAAAGTTCAGTCCAAGGTCAGTAAATAACTTACCTATATTTTCTTCTGTTTTTTATGATTCACTTTTAGCTTTTTAATTAATATAGAATGTATTTGGGGCTATCTATTTAAGGTAGATTCTGAGGTAGATTTGGGCTATTTCAAATAGATTTGAGAGTCTATTACGGTAGAATTTAACAAAATTTTCCCCAAATAGCACAACTACCCAGTAACATATTAGTTCCTTTGTGATGATGGATTTATGGTGGTGCTCTATCATACACCAATTTCTTTTTTGGGGCTCATCTTTCATATTTTAATTACTTAAATATCTGGTACAATAAATGCCTTCTCATTATTTCTCTTTTGCAAAAATTTCGTGGCTATGGATACTCATTTATTCTTCCAAACAAATTTTAAAAACACTTTATCAAATTCTCCCCATTTCACTTCACTCCAAACTCATTAGGATCTGCTTGACATTGCATTAAACCTATACATTCAACTGAAAAAAATGCATTCTTTTGATATTCAGTGTTCCAATTTTCTTAATTGTAGTATTTTCTATTTTCTATTTTCTTAATATAGAGTCTGTACATTTCTTGTTATGGTTATGCCTAAGTATTTTATATATTTTATTGCTTTTGTGAAAGAAATATTTTTCACATCATAATTTTAAACTGGTAAGACATTATTCTCAGTGAACTTTCACTGAGAATGCTTCGACTCCAGCTTGATTTATTCTGTATGTAGAAAAATATTTGTAAGAGTACTTTACTGCATAGACATAAATGACCTTAGCCGGTGCTTGAGAGAGAACACTGAAGGCCATGCAGATTATTAAAGAAGACCAACTTTGTAGTTATGAAAGGAGCTAGAAGGAGCCACTGGTTATCCATTTTATTCTATAGTGTACAACTGCATAAGTGAAAGTAATGCATTTTTTTTTATTACTGGGGAGGGAAAAAGACAAGAAATTGATGCACCCATGTCTGTAATGACAAGTGAAGAGTGATTTTTGAAGATAGTGGGGGACCCAAGAGTATTTAATTGTTCCCTATACTTTGAGCCTTATGCATCTCATCTACCTCATTGTTGACGGTCCGTTTTGGCATAAGCAAGATGAATAATGTAGACAATGTCTCCCATGGGAATTAAATTTAAAATGAAGGCTCTAAGTAACTGATATCTAAAGATCACGTTATAAAACTGGCCTCCATGTCCTCGGTCCCACTGTCCTCTGTTGTCCTTGGAGGCTGCACACACACCTGTCATTCACTTGCCCTCAGTTTCTAAGGTGGCAGGATGCCAGTGCCAGCCAAGTGTTCACAGTGCAAAGTGCTTTAGACTCCTCTGAAATGAAAGTCAGTATGTAAATGTGCAACATGACGACATTATTATTCTAGCTTCCTGGCTGCTTTCAGCAAGCACTGACTGCCACATGAGGTCTCAAGTGTTCTGGCACAGTGTGCAAGTGTTCAAAAGAAGTTAAAGTAATGAAATTGGATCTACATTTCCATAGATATTCAAGCTGGCATGGAGAAATGGAGTCATGGAATCAGGGTTGGATGGTCTCCACCAAACAGCCTAGGCAAGTGCCTATGATGCCAGGCTACTAAGCAGAATTTTCAGTCGTGAAAGGCCACCACTGTTTCTTCCTCTGGGTCTAAAATTACAAAATGTGCACATTTCTCCCAGCCTCACACAACTCTCTGGTTGCTTTATGCTCAGTCCCCACCCACCCATTCCCTGGAGCACACCGGCTTTGCTTAAATCCAGCACAAGTTTTAAAATGAAGAACTAAGTACAAAGAGGGGGAAAATGTTTAGTTAGAAGCCTAATACAGCATATGTTACTGTATCAAGTATGTGACTCTTAAAAGGGGGGCCAGGCTTACCGTGTAGCTGATCTACCTAAGGTACTTCCTAGGAAGTGTCCACCTAATGAGTTTCAGTTGACCTTGTCATTTTTTTGCAGTTTTCATTGCTCATAGGTCTTCTGCTTTGCATCCAGCATTCTCTGCTGTTGAAAGTTCTGGAGCCAAGACCAAACTTAGGTCTATGGGTGGTGGGGTCAAGAAACTGAGTTTGCTAGCGAGTCAGCGTGGGTCTAGGGTCAGCGCAGATTCCGGATTTGATCATTCTGAGACCTGACCTCTCTCTTACACATTTATACCCTCCCACCGGCTGAAATATTTCTGTTCATCAGGGCAAGAGCAACAGAATCCGAGTCTCGTGCTTAGATACTAGCATAGGTCCATAATGCTGGGTATCCTCCCTCCTCCATCTCCCTTTATATCCTGAAATTTTCAGGGGCTCCAAGTATCTGTTTATATATATTTGGAGATGAAAATATTTTAAATTTAAAAATGCAAGAGAAGAACAATTCAAAGAATTCAAGCACTGAAGAATACCTTTATTCATACAGAATCTCTCTTTTTTTTAAATTGTATTTTAGGACAGTGAAAAAAAGGGATTTATAAATAAAATCTATGCCATCCAGGAGGTATGCATCAGTGTCCAGAACATCCTAGATGAAGTGGCTTCCTTTGGCGAAAGGATAAAGAAGTGAGTGATGCTGACGGGAGCCCTGGCCTTCTGTGGGACAGTGTCCATTTATTTCTTGGAGGGTGAAATGCCACATTCTTTTTGGCAGGGGACACTCCTTCTGGGTGATCTATTGTCCAGTATTTCATCATTATTTACTTTGTTTCTGCCAGTCTTTGGTTTTATGAAAGTTCTGTCAATTTCCTTCCTGAAATTTAGAACACATTGGTTGGAAAGAAGTCATACTTGTAGCTTTGAAGAAATAACACCGTCCTAAATTTTAGCACATTTTCACAGTGAAAGACTTTGTTCATAAACGGCATATGAAATCGTGATAGAAAAAAAATGAACCAAGCTAAATGAGGACTTCAGGTAATCCAGAAACACCTGCGTTTTATTATTGGTCAAGTTATATTTTCATCATTACTCTAAAATTTTAAAAAATGGTATGTATAACACCCTGCAGACATATTATTTCAAATTTGTGTATTTCAATAGCTGAGAAAATTATAGATGAAATAAACTAGTGCTTTGTCATTTAGAAAATGCACAGAAATTTTATAATTTAAAAGAAAGAATCCCCTTTCCTTATTTTTTTTAAATAAGGAAAAACAGCTTCATTGAGATCTAATGTAAAATTAAGAAACTTACATTCTTAATTTTACATTACAGTACATCCCTTGGTGTCCTCGGGGGATTGGTTCCAGGACTCCAGGGATACCAAAATCCGTAGATGCTCAAGTCTTCTATCTAAAATGGCGTAGTATTTGCATATAAACTACGCATATCCTCCTGTATATTTTAAATCATCTCCAGATTACTTATAATACCTAATACAACGTAAATGCTGTGGAAATAGTTGTTATACTGTATTGTTTAGGAAATAATGACAAGAGAAGATGTCTGTACGCGTTCAGTACTGACGCAACCATCGTAGGCCTTTCGGTCTGTGGTTGGTTGAATCTGCAGATGTAACCCACAGATGTAGAGGGCCAACTGTACTTGTGTTTTACTTCAAATAATTTTATTTACTAATATACTTTTGAAAATAACTATTTAATTATAAAAACAATAAGGTGAATTTACAACAATTGATTATCAGTGAAAAATATGCTAAGGCCCCATACTACTAAACTATGGGAAAATTGGCCTACATAATGATTGCTAAGTGGTCTCTTCAAGAAGAGGTGCTGTATATCTGGATAAGTCTGCATTTTCCTGGTTTCACATATCTATTCATTGTTTATTATTCGTAACCGAAAGTGTTCTGCAGATTTAGATCCTTGGGCATACACAGAATTTGAAAGGAGTAAATTATTTAAACTAAAGGTGTGAATCATTCATCCAGTGCCTTTCATGTTTCAAGGGATAATGCATTTTATTTTGTATAAGTTTTTGTTTAATATATTTCCACATATGCGTAAGTGCTGAGTTTCCACTTTCTTATATCATATTAGGCAGAATAGCCTCCCTCTCACTCCCAAATGTGCCTGTAAGCAACATTCAGTCTCAGACATCTGAAGACTGATTCCCACATCTTTTCTCTTTCCTTCTTCCTCTCCATGTAATTTCCATCTCCAAGAATATTCCCTTGTTCTCCACATCCTATCCACTGAAGCATAGTGTGAAGTCCTAAATGGGGCATTTCGCTGTTGAGTGTTGTCTTTTCTCTGAGGTACACCGTGTGTTGAAACCTGACAGACGCATCTCATTTATATCAGAAGAACCTGGGTCAGCTCTGAGGTCAGACGAGTAAAATGCCTGAGAGGAAGAGGCTTGTTTATAACTCTGGGTGGTAAGAGACCTCAGATAGGTGTTTGGTTGGAAAACGTCATGGCCTGTTGAAGGATGTGAGATCCTGGCTGTGGACCAGCCTCGGGGAAAACGGGTTTTATAGAATTTTCCATAGGTATAGACTGAGGTATAGGAACATGGCATAGGATCCAGTGAGTCTTGAAGGAGCCGTTTTTTCTGCACAACAATCTTTTGAATACTAAAAAAGAGAAACTTCCCTGGGTCACATGAGATAAAAGGCATCTATCCAGAAAGCAGATTCAGAAGCAATCTTTAAGTTCAAAGTGAACAGACTCTATAATTACCACATCTTGTTACTAAGTAATCCTTCCAGAACTTTCTTGAATTGCATCTCTTTTGGGGTGGGGGGGAGATCATATTTTAGATTTAGATTCCATAGTGCACTGTGGAAATAGAAAAGGGCAGTCTTTTTTCCCCTGACAGTAGCTACACTGGTAAGGACTCTTTGCCATTTATCCTTCCAAGAGGAGTAAGGAGAACACAGGGAGCCCTTCAGTGAGGCTGCCCAGAGGGAGGGTCTTCTGAGTGAAGAGCCAGTGCCCTTGCACATGGAGTAGTGTGATGGATGGCTCTGAGCTGAGCCGCAGAAAAGCAAGCAGACACTCAGCCTTCTGTTCTCTCCACAAGAGGCAGAAGCAAGGGAAGCACGAGTGTCAGTAAAGGAGGGAAGACATTTGACCTAGAGAGACACAAAAAGCAAGCCATATGCCACAAAGCTATGGAATAACTCCTAAGTGTTATGTTGAGGTGCAGTATAGGAAGAAAATCTCTTAATCATCCTTTATTGGATCAGCAACTGCCCTGGACAAACCCTACCCCAAGTAAACATAACATACCTTACCAGGAAATTAGAAGAAATAAAAAACGCTAACATTTATCCACATCTTGTACAATTTCATATTTTCCTGAAGTGTCTTTAGGGACCTTTTCACTGCCTTATGAGAAATGCCATACTTTAGACTCCTGGAGTTGATTAGCTCTAATAATATCACTTAATTCACATACACATGTTACCATCACTATCAGTCTTCCTTGATACAATAAAAGCTTCCTCATTTTATGAAGGGGAAAGCTGAGGCTTTGTGAGGTCGACTCATCTGAAGTCACAAGGAACCTAGGCTTTGAACGCAAATCTGCTCCCTTCAGGATGTGTTAGTTCCTCTTTGAAGGCTGAATGCTGAGGCCATGGTGTGCCTGTAAGTGGGGATATAGTTATACACCTAACCCTGAAGCCTCCATGCAATGGTTCTCTGTTTTCTTGAGAACATTGTCACTCTCTCTGAAAAACCACCAGAGATTCACTACAGAATTTCTACACAAAAAGCCTGAAACTATTACGATCTTTCCATGTTCCATGTTCCTGATTTTCTACATCATCTTTTTTGCCTTCTCTGTCTTCATTTTTCACTTCTTTTCCCTTTTTGTCCCACTAAATTCCTTCCCATCTTCTTAATCCTGTCTTTTTTGTAACTTCCTCTACTTCTGTTCATTGATCCCGTCTCTGTTCTTTGTTCTGATGTTGTCTCTCTATCAATACTCAGCCTTGCCGCCTTCCCTGAGCCTCTCCATTATCAGTCACCAGCAGGATGAGAACACTGCAGACCCATCAGCCAGGCCCTGCTATCGCCCACACTTCTCCAATTTACACTCCCTTTTCAGTCTTTCCAATAAATCTACCACACGCCTCACTCTCCTGTGCCAGAAATAATGTAGGGAGAACAGTGGGCAATACTGACTTTATTTCTTAATTATCTTTGTGTTTCTGGTCACATGGGCAATGATGGCAGATGAATGTTTACAAGGCTAACTGTTCTATCCCCCCTTGCTGACTTCTAGTTCCAATTGAAACAGCCGAAGTGGGAAGCGAGTATTCCTCTAAAGAATTCTAAAGTTCAGAAGATTTACACCATAGCGTAAGATTTAGTTCTACAGACAATTGCTGGCAACATTTTATTTCTAGTGTGGGGAATCCAGTGTGAGAGTTGATAGAAGAAAGAATGGTAGGCCCTGTGGCATTCTCCTCTGAGAAAATTTGGAGAAAACAAGATTGAGTACTAGTTTTAGAAGTAAAAAAACAAAGTGGGTTATTTTTTTATTTTTTATTTTTTTTACCACGTGTTGAGTCACCCAGGTAGTGTAATGGCTTAGATTCTGAAGTCACTTGAGACAATCTGGAGGGGTTGGTGGCAAGACTTTTACCTGGGCCCTGTGTTCATGGAATTGAGCCGATTATGACTAACCTGTGTCCTCTGATAGCCTACTACCACTGGTTTCTATTCCAAGGAGAAATGCAGTCTTACTAGATCCCTAAACCAGATTTTGAGTCAGAATCACATTTATTTTAATCTTTGTTTGATAAAAGTACGAAGTGCTCAGATTGCTGATGTGTTCATTTCTCCTTCAGTACTTTCAACTGGACTGTCCCCTTCTTAAGCTGGCTGGCCATTGTAGCCCTCTGTGTGTTCACAGTCATCCTGTACTTCATTCCACTGAGATACATTGTCCTTGTCTGGGGTAAGTAAAGCCTTTTTTATTTATTTTTTTAAACTGTCGTAGCTGCTAAGAACAAACTAGTTTTAAGGAATGAGTTATACTGTCGGTAGTTGCCTATATTTATGGTCATGAAGCTTCTCCATGATGAAAGGAGACAGGCCAGTTAAAAAATCACAACAGTATAAAGATTTAGGTCTACCTGCAAAATGCATTTTTCTTCTCTGGCACCATAGGCTCTGTCATACTATAAACATGTAGTTGTGCAGATTCTTCATATATCAAAGTGTAGCTTTGTCTAGATATCACTCTGATTTATTTTCACCACTTATATGTAAACAGAGGCATTTCGATCCATATGGTGCATTTAAGACAATATGCTTTTGTGCTGTGGTACTTTATCTTGTGGAAGCATCTGTAAACATGGTACTATATATGGCCACCTGTTTAAGAGGTCACCTTTAGCATGCAGGAAAAGGATCCTTGGCATTGACAGGCTGCTTAGGAATAAGAAACCTTTATATGTATGAAATAAGAATGCTTCTGCAAAAACCCACCTTAAAGGTGATATTTTTGGTCCTAATTTTTAATGCAATTATGCTGCATGTCAACAGTTCCAACACACCTAGGTGCCATTTAGGTGGTAGTTTCAGCATTCTTCACAGTTTGGGGATTTTTTTTCCTTATCTGTCAAAATTCTTGGTTTGAAAAACTCAATTTTCAGTCTCCAAGATCGATTAACATATAAGACTATGATATTAATGATATATATATATAAATAAGACTGGGTAGAAGTAGAATTCTCTACTTGCCCCTGGCCTGCATACATCTAAGATTGCTAAACCTATACAAAACGCAAAGAACCAAAGTGGGTCTTAACTCCAGAAAACACGTGCTTACACTGAAAGCAAAAAGATCAAAGGGAATGTTTTGTTCCTTTCTTTTTAAGGCTTTTAAAGAAATATGCTAGAATAAAGGGAGAAGGGGTCTGATGTCTCTAAGCCCTCCACTTTTAAGATTCCTATCTCCCTATTCTTTTTGGCCTATCTTGTCATATCTCCAGTAAGCTCTCTTACCCCTTATCACTATCATTACCTTTATTTACATTTGGGGTAGGGAGTGGAAGGTGGGGGGAATGGTGATTATTTTTTCCTTAATTTCTATAATTTAAAGAAACAGTTTCAACTAAGGCAGTCCTCTTACGATACAAGGGAAGAGGCATTTCCACCATGTTCTTGCTTCCCTATTGTATGTTGAAGCCCTCATCTTTCATTCCTTCTCTGATATTTAAAACAGATGCTGTTTTATTGAAGGAATTAGGGTAGGGCATTAGGTGTGGCAGCTTATTACCTCTAACCTACCCAGGGTCAGACCTGCCATCTCAGTTGTGATAGGTGGTGAACCTCTGGTTTCGCTTCCCCGGGTTCTCAGAAACTGGAGCCCATGGCAGACATCTGGCTATGTAACCTGGGGTGGCCTCACTGGCTAGCTGTCTTAAACGTAATTTTTAGAGAATGTGTTTGGGCCTCTTGTTTCATCAAATGAAATAAAACAAGAACAGTCATCCTTTAGTGGTAGGTGATTGCTGAAACATTAACCAGAAATTTAAGACAGAGGTCTCACATGGGGAGACAGGGACCAAAATCATGTTTGCAGAAGTTTATTCTGCTGAACTCCCTGAAGAAGAGCCAAGATGCTCTAGTTTATGGCCTAGTTTTTTACCGGTCTGTTGATTTCATATAAAGCTGTTTATTTTTTTATAAAGTGAATATGCTTCGTAATTTATTAAGTGCAATATAAATTTAAAAGAGTTGACTTAGCTCATTGAAATTCTACATTATACCATAGAATATGTAGAATAGATTCTTCCAGTTTTATATATTATTTTGACGTTTCTATCTCATTAAATTTTTTGTTCGTTTGTGTAATAGCTCCAGTTTCACTTGAATTTGCCTCTCCTCCACATTTGTTCTTCAGGTAGTGCGGAGGATTAACTGTTGAATAATTTAGTATAGGTAGATATGGCTCATCTTTAATTGTCCTTGGTCGTTCTAATCCAAGAAGTTATCCAAGTAAGTCAATCACAGCAGCAACTTTTGCGAGCATTAAATTTAAATTTCTTGTAATTTAAAAGTAAAATTGGTTTCTGAAAATCTCAAAGCCAGAAATGTAGAAATGGAAACTCTTTTTTCTTGTCATAAGAACTTTGAAGATCTCTCTTAGCAACTTTCAAATATGCAATCCAGTATTATTAACTATAGTCACCATGGTGTACATTACATCCCTGTGACTTATTTTATAACTGGAAATTTGTACTTTTTGACTCTTTTTTATGGCTGACTAATATTCCATTGTGTATGTATACATATGTATACACACACACCCCACATTTTCTTTATCCATTCATCCATCAGTGAACACTCAGGTTGTTTCCATGTCTTGGCTATTATAAAAAATGCTGCAATGGACATGGGGATGCATATATCAATTCAAGTTAGTGTTTTTGTTTTCTTTGGATAAATATTCAGAAATGGATCATATGGTAGTTCTATTTTAAATCTTTTGTGGAAACTCCATACTGTTTTCCATAGTGAATGCACCAATTTACATTCCCATCAGCAGTATACAAGGGTTCCCCTTTCTCAACATCCTCGCCAACTCTTATTATTTATTGTCTTTTTGATAATAGCCATTCTAACGGGTGTGAGGTGATATCTCATTGTAGTTTTGATTTGCATTTCCCTGATGATTAATGATGTTGAGCATTTTTTCATATACCCTTTGGCCATCTGTATATCTTCTTTGGAAAAATGTTTATTCTGATTTGCCCATTTTTTAATCAGACTGTTTTTTTGATATTGAGTTGTATGAGTTCTTTCTGTATTTTGAATATTAGCCCCTTATCAGATATATGATTTGCAAATCTTTTCTCCCATTCAGTAGGCTGCTTTTTCATTTTGTTAATGGTTTCCTTTGCTGTGCAGAAGCTTTTTAGTTTGATGTAGTCCCACTTGTTTATTTTTACTTTTGTTGCCTTTGCTTTTGGTGTCAAATACAAAAAATCATAGCCAAGACTGATACCAAAGAGCTTACGGCCTATATTTTCTTCTAAGAGTTCTATGGTTTCGGGTCTTACATTTGAGTCCTTAATCAATTTTTAGTTAATTTTTGTGTATGGTATAAGATAGTAGTCTATTTTCATTCTTTTGCGTGTGGCTGTGCATTTTTCAAACACCCCTTATTGAAGAGACTGTCCTTTCCCCATTGTATATTCTTGGCTCCTGTGTTGTAAATTAATTGACTATATATGCGTGGGTTTATTTCTGGGCTATTTTGTTCCATTGATCTATGTGTCTGTTTTTATGCCAATACCATACTGTTTTGATTACTATAGCTTTGTAATATAGTTTGAAATCAGGGAACAGTATGCCTCCAGCTTTGTTCTTCTTTCTCAAGATTGCTTTGGCTATTCAGGGCCTTTTATGGTTCCATACATATTTTAGGATTGCCTACACTATTTCTATGAAAAATGCCATTGGAATTTTGATAGGGATTGCATTGAATCTGTAGATTGCCTTGGGTAGTCTGGACTTTTTAACGATATGAATTCTTCCAATCCATGAGCATGGAATGTATTTCCATTTATTTGTGTCATCTTCAATTTCTTTCATTAATGTCTTAGAGTTTTCATTGTACAGTCCTTTTACCTCCTTGGTTAAATTTATTCCTAAGTATTTTATTCTTTTTGATGCAATTGAAAATGATAATAATAATTATCTTAATTATAATTATCTTAATTTCTCTTTCTGATAGTTCATTATTAGTGTATGGAAATGCGACAGGTTTTTGTGTATTGATTTTGTATCCTTGTTGGTTCGCAAATTGGCCCCTATAGATGAAGGGCAAAGAGAGACCAAAGAAAGAGGCAGACCACTCCAGATTGCTAGGTGGCAGGTTTAATAAACAAGGAAATTTACTTATGAGGCTTGCCTTGGGTGACCGCAAGACCAGCAGATCTCCACACCCTCCTGCCAAAATCTTAAAGGTTTATATAGAAGCATTAACTGGGTTTAGTCATGTATACCATCCAGATGGTCTCAACAACACCTTACTCTTTCAAGGCTATGTCCTTGGAACAGCTCCCACCATGGGAATGGGGGGCAGAACATACAATCCAAGTATAGGGTAGGGGGTGAGGAGCTTCCAATTTCCCAGGTCCAGCTCACAGGTCATCCGGCAGTCACATCCTCGTGATTTCCTCCTCCAACAATCCTACAACAATACTGAATTCAGTTTATTCTAACAGTTTTTTGGTGGAGTCTTTAGGGTTTATGTATAAGATGATGTCATCTGCAAATAGTGACAGTTTTATTTCTTCCTTTCCAATTTAGATGCTTTTTATTTCTTTTTCTTGCCTGATTGCTCTGGCTAGGACTTCCAATACTACGTTGATTAAGAGTGGAAAGAGTAGGCATCCTTGTCTTGTTCCTGATCTTAGAGGAAAGGTTTTCAGCTTTTCACCATTGCATACAATGTTAGCTGTGGGCTTCTCATATATAGCCTTTATTATGTTGAGGAATGTTCCCTCTATACACATTTTGTTGAGAATTTTTATCATAAATGGATGTTGAATTTTGTCATGCTTTTTCTGCATTTATTGAGATGATCATATGATTTTTATCCTCCATTTTGTTAACATGGTGTATCACATTGATTTACAGATGCTGGACCATCCTTGCATCCCTTGAATAAACCCCAATTGATCATAGTGAATGATCCTTTTAATGTATTGTTGAATTCAGTTTGCTAATATTTTGTAGAGGGTTTTTGCATCTATGTTCATCAGGGATATTGGTCTATAATTTTTTTTTTTGTGGCATCCTTGTCTGGTTTGGTATCAGGGTAATGCTGGTCTTGTAAAATAAATTTGTAGGTATTCCCTTCTATTTCTTGGAAGAGTTTGAGAAAGACTGGTATTAATTCTTCTTTGCATGTTTAGTAGAATTCACCAGTGGAGCTGTCTG